CAGAGACCTCTTTATTGAAGGATTAGTCATAAACCCTTTACTCATCCATCAGGCAACATTATTGACTGTCTGTATATGGTATTGGGATTATTCAGTCAAATGTAGTAACTATCACGCATTGGTACAGTGTTTTTACCACTAGGTGTTAGGTTCAAATTACTGACAAGAAGAGCATCTGAAGCATGCTTTTGGTGAATTTTTGCATTGTCAGAGGCAAACAGGCCTTGACATCCTGGAAAGGGGTTTTTGAATGCTGGAATAGCTTTTTTCAGTAAGTTGTTTTAATAACAACTCACCAGTCCACTAAATATCTCCTCCACACTTCAGTGTCTCTGATACACTACCTTCTCCTAATCTTTCCACAAGGATAAGGAAGTCAGAAATGTGAAGCCCTTACCCACACCCCTTTTTCCAAATTGGTGCCTTATCCTCATGAATCCAAATGTTCTTTCGTCCATCATTGGAGTTGAATGTGCATTCATCATGTGTAATAAAAACTATAGGGCAGACACCTGGTTTGTATTACTTAGGAATAACCTGCAGACTTTCATCCCACTCAATCATTCTTGTGCTTAGTGATTGCATTCGTGGGAGAAATATTGTATCACAATATGTGATAACATCCTCTCTTTCATGCCTATCCTTATATATTCCTTTCTTGACCTCTTTCCAGTTTCAACCAAGTTTAAGGAGCTATGCACGTGCTGCATGGCTTGATAATACCTTTTTCATCCTCCGGTGTATTCCCGCTATTGAGATTAAAGGTAATTGAATTGTAGCTTCGCTCTGTTCCAGTTCTTCCCTGTAAGTTGTTGCCCAATAATTGGTGATCGCTTGTAAAAGACCTGCTAAATCTACTACTATTGAATCATATTACTTATTAGTTCATATTATAAAATACAAAAGCATCAATTAGGTTACTACTTACCTTCTCCAGCAAGGGACATGTACTCACGCATGGCTAACATTGTACACTCATCTGTCAACCAGCTTACAACTTTGGTATGCTTGCCGACTTAGGTACTGGTTTTCCATTCCTAATATAATCTACCTCTTGTCTCAGAATCCGATTCCTCATCCAAGTACCCCACCCTGCTGACTTTGCCACCAGGAATGCCAGCTCTTTTATTGATTTCTGCCATATTATTGGATCAGTTGGTTTTCGATTCAACTCTTCTATTTTGGCTGTTCTCTCTGACTTTAACTGCAGCTTTATAAATGTATAAAGCTGAACAGTCCAATCCAACTGTAAATTGTTATAAACAGCCACTCCTTTTCTGTTTTATGACTTAATTTTGAATTTAAGTCTTTTTAATGCGGACTCTACAATCTCCTCCTTCATGAGTCTTAAGTGACCAACCAGACATGGCCAACTATTATAAGCTTCTTTACGTAACTAATTATTCTATCATACTCATATTAGTCTCTTGCCCATACTACTATATAATATATAGCAAGAGTTTATACCTGCATGTTTACCTGATCCGCAATCATATCCTTTGTGGCTGATTGTTTTCTTTTTGTACAGTTCCTTCGGGCTCATTCTGCACCTGACAGTGGAATAATTCGCTCCCATCCAGCCTAATATCTAATATTTTTTTGTTCTCTCCCATGAAGAACATATCTTCGCAACTATTGGTGATTGAATTTGATTATCTTCAGATACGTTACACTCTTGGAGCTGGACTAGTCTGATATCTTTTTACTTTTGGTGATATTTTTGAGACCGCTCAGTGTTCAAACTAGGTACTGTGGCTATAACTGGAGCACTGCTATTTTGTCTAGCTCTGTACTTGCATATACGTTCCCTGGCTGCTGCATATTTCTTCTCTTTTCATAATTCTGCCTGTCTATCCATAATTCAATCTGTTCTGGCTTTCTATTAGTATAGTTAATTAGTATAAATTATAAGATAATATTATGAGAATAAAGTTTATTATAGGAAATTTACATATGTTCGAAAAGTATATTGAAGAAATGTGCCGGTGTGTGATGGAATTGATTAAAGAACAAGAGTACAAATAGAAGTAAATTAGTAGTCAGAAATAGAAGTTGCTCTACAATGTATATATTAGGGTGGAATAATCTAGAAGGTAGGGCAAAGAAATATACAGGTGTAACAGTTACCATTGCAGGTAAAGTGTCACACTTTTTGTTAGAAAAGTGGTTTAGAATTTGGTCTTCCGGAACCATATCAACAATCTTTCTCAACATGAAAGGAGGTTTCAATAATGTAAACTACGAGAAGCTGATTGATAGGCTGACATTATCTGGTACGGTGCTTGACTATCTAGTCAATTAGATTCAATGCTTTATTGTGACTCATGATATAACTCTGACTTACCCGAGTAGTCCCAGAACTGCCTATTAATTGCGTCAAGGAGTACCATAAGGATTACTACTTTCCTCTCTTCTGTTTGTCACATATGTACGGTCATTGCATCCTGCTAAAGACTTTCATGAGATGTTTACATTATCTTATGTAGACGATTTCCAAATTACTATCGCATCCAATTCTTAGTACACTAATATGAAACTGCTGGTAGAAGAGTCGAAGGTGATGGTGGAAAGAGCCCACACACTCGGTCTGTCATTCAGCCTGGTAAAAATGGAACTGATGCATTAGAGGAAAAGAAGAGAGCAAGGCACCAGATTCTCCCGTAATATAAACATACAAGGTCATGTTGTTAAACCTGTGGGGACTCTGATACGGTAGTTAGGATACTGGCTCTCCAACGATAGCAAAATGTCTTACCACTTTACAAAGAGGCTAGCTTTGACTCAAGTGGCCTTTTAGAAAATATAGGAGATTGTTGTACTCCGGAAAAGCTTTGGCCCCATATGAAGCAAGGAGACTAGTAAAGAGAGTCATTCTACCTGCACTGTTGTATGGGACAGAGGTTCTGACTCCTTCTAAGACAATAGTGAATAAAGTGTAAAATTTCTGTAACAGGGTCATAAGATGGATCTCCAATGCCTTCTATACTATAAATATTGCAGCATTGTCGGCTGAAGCATTTCTTACACCTATCTTGCTATATGTTGAACAAATGAAAATGATGACAATGGTGCAGCTATTGACACCAGTACCATAGAACAATATAGCAACGACTATGCTTCCTATGAGTTTCCTGATAGGCAGCAGTTTCTGGCTAGAAAAAAATAGGCGAATAGTA